TAAAAAAATTTACATAGTAATTCTAAAAAACACTATTAAAATAATACAAAAATTAAATAATCTTAATATCCTGTAATTTGATTTTATCGTTTTTATACTCATTAGAATCGTTTCATTGAGACGAACATTTTGGTAGTTAAATCATCCAAAACGGACCAGTAGATCAAGAGATATCAGTAATTCCTCGAATCAGCCTATATATATAGTATAATTAGAGATTAAAAGTAGTGTTTTAATCTGTAATCTGAGATTTAAATTCAGCTATTCAAATCAGAAATGTTTCTTCTGATTGGTCAAAGAACTTAAATAATGGACCTAAGGATGCGTCCAAAAGTTAGCTTTAATATACTGTATAATCTGAAACGGATTCAATCCGGTTCAGATTATTCTTAGAGTATTCTAGCTAATTCTGTTTGAAGCATTACTAAAAGAGATATAAAAACTTGCTACTTTTAATTAGTGTTTTGATCCTATTTCTGAAAGACCATTCGAATTATATTAAATCCGGATTATTGTTGTTTGAATATAACTTTATCATCCAAAACTAAAAATTTCCGCTCAAATGATCTTGATATAAGATAAATTTGGCCAGAATTATAATTAATTTAGATCAAATTTGGCAAGATTTAGATGTTCTATAGAATAGGATAAAAAATAGGCTTCACTTAATTTTTTTAATATATTCAGCGGAGTTTGCCAACCTTTTCTATAATTTCTTGAATAGTGAAAAAAATAATATTGGTTATACATAATCACAAATCGATATAATTAAGTATTGTAAACATAGCGCACGAACATTAATAGATAATGTATAACGAAATTGAATCCTATATAAATTTTTTTATATTAAGGTATATATTATATATATAATTTAGATTTTTTTGTAAGAAATTTTTTTTGTTAGAATCTAGAAAAAATTTATTCGTTACTAATTAATCATGTATCAAACTTGAATTTTATTACATAAATAATAGTTAACGGTTATTTTTTTGATACTTAAAAGAAATATTGAATTTTAAAGAAATATCATATTTCGTTAAAACAATGTATAAGTAAACTAGTTTTTTAAAAAAAATTCTTAATCAAATAATATCGGAACATTAAAAAAGTATAGTGATGGTATCTTTTTATATTTACTATCAAAATTCTAGTATTATGGTAATATTACTCATCAGCTAAGCCGCGAAGAGGATAAAATCTTATGATTTAATCAAGCCCAAAAAATTTAATCAGCTTGAATCACTATCAAAAAATAATTTCTTTTTGTTAAAAAAAACTGAAAATTCCCGGTAACCTTATTACTAGAAGTATTTATATTTAGAATAAGATTTAAGTCCGATTATAAACTGATTAAATTTCAAATTTTTAAATTTTAATATGTACAAAAATTTTTTTTTTTGATACTAAAAGAAATTTACATATTGATTATTGTTTTTTTTTTTTTTTTTTTTTGCACGAAAATTAATCAAAATAGAAGATCCGTACATGATACCTGATAAAATGTAAAAACTATTAGTTAAATCAAATATCTAAAAAAAAAAATTTTTTTTTTTTTTCATAACAAATAATCAAATCTATATTTAAATGATCTCAATTAATTGTTTGCTTCCATAGATATTTTTTCTGCTAACCAAACCAAATCATTTTTTCCTTTTATTCTTTCTAATTCATTTAAAGCATCATCTAATCCCATCTCAATTGCTTTACGTTGAACTTCTTTAATTACTTTTTTTCTAGGTGCTAAAATAATACTATTATCGAGAAGCCATTTATTTCCATATGATTCCATCATCATAACAACTGATGGATTACCATCAAGTCCAACATTCCATTCATTCCATACATCATAAACTGTATTAAGAGTACTAATAACAGGAAGACGATAATATCGTGGTCTTGATCCTGAAAATTTACTATTACCAGTACAACATTCAGAACCACAAGTTGAAGGAGTATTTGATTCACTAATATTTGATTGAAATGAATTTCCGCTATTTTGCAAAGCTGATGTTGATGGACCAGCCGTACAAGGATCATTGGAACTCCACATGTACGGGATATTAGTGGATTGATTGCAATGAGACGTAGGATCATTATAGTGTGATGAATAGTTGTGGTATGGAATAGTTGGAGAACTAGGCAAGTATGTTATTGAAGAATTTTTGTTGGAAGTTGATGAAATGTCTTTAAGATAATTTGTCTGTTGATAAGTATCTTGAATGTTAGGTTGTGGATTATAGTACATTGCGTTATGAGAATAGTTTGTTGCACCCGTCGTGGTCTGATTTGGTAAATTGCTTTGTGAATGAAAATAATTTGTAGTTCTAGTAACAGGAGTAGTAGCATTGGTGTTAGTTGAAATTTCGTTTGGTTGACTCTCGCATGCTTCAGAATTGTCACTGGGTGCTATCTCAGTCGTAACATAAGTAGTTGTATTAGAATTTTGTGGACTACTAGTAGTAATACTTGTCATAGTGATAGTAATTCTTGAACTAGTAGCTGCAGAACCAGAATGTTGCATATTATCCGATTGATTATTACATTGCGGCCTAGTGCTCTGAGGTTGGGCATTTCTTGGAGAATATTGACGTGAGGACGGCTGTATTGGACTTGGTTGAGGTACATGAATTTCGGGACGCATTGGAACTTCGTGAGGCCGTATGTGGATTCCTGATTGGCGAACTAAAGAACGTCTTGTTGAAAGAATCTTTTCTTCAGTGCTTTCCATTGACTAATCTTTGACGAGCATGGAATTTCGTTTTCTGATTGGCTAATAAACGTAAACAAATGCATAATTTGATTGGTTATTTTAATATTATAATGCTTGCTCGCTTTAACGTTAATATCAAATTTACATATAGCAACGTAAATTACGTTTTCAGGTAAATTATAGGTATAGTAACGGTAATTGGTAATGATAATACGTATATAAAATTTTCCGTAAGTACAGTATCAATCTTATCTAAACTTTTACTACTAAACTTCATTGTGACTTACAACCCAACCCACGGAGCTTGTATGTGGTGTGATTTTCAATTTCTATTTAAGGTTAGCGTTAAATAATGAAGTATCCTGCTGAAAAATAATGGCTTTTTAAAAAAAAATAGATTGTCAATACATTTTTTTTTTTTTTTTATGATCTCGAGTTATTGTGTATCCTAAGGTACTCTGTCACATCAGTTTAAATATCGAAAGCGCTTCGTGGCCAACAGTTTTAATTGTTGAACGTTCTTCTTTTGGTTTCTTGATCTTCTTGAAATGACGCATGCTCTGTCAGGAATTAAATGATGAATAAGGATATACACTAACTACTGAAAGCACATAACCGTTGAATACCCCCGGTCCGGCGTGCAAGTTCTTTAGTTGTTAATAGCGATGACGCGTTCACTCACTTATTATTATTATTATTAGGGGAAAACGACGGCGGGGTAGATATAATTTTCATGATTGAGGAGACCAAGATCATAATCCAATGAAAACCGGAAGAATAAAATAGATTTGTTTTGGATTATATGTTTATTAAAAAAAGAGATTTTTGTATTTATATTAATTATAAGTAATATAGGACCTGGTACTATCGGTATAGAGATAAGGAGCTTGCGAAAATTTTAATTCTAAAAAAAATTGCTCTAATACTAGATATGCGCACGCATAATACCTGAAACATGCGCATGAATGCGCATTTTTGCCCATCAAGAATTTATATATGTTTTGGTTAGACCGCGTAATTTAGGGTAGGGAGCATAATGCCGGGCGGAATTAAGGGATAAGAATTTCAAAAGTTCCGAAAAATTCCGAAAAGAAAATGAATGAACCTCAAAGACGAGCAAGGTCGCGACCGAAATTCGAGAAACATACCGATTTTTTTCGAAATGAAACATAAAAATGGAATGATATGTGATAACAGCCATAAAAAAAAAACAATTTAGTACGTAGCTTAAATAAAAAAAAGCAACTTAATCTAAATTAAAATCGTTTATCGTTTATATATAGATCTTAATTTATGTTTATCTTTACTCCTTTTCTCTAATAACAAAAAAAAAATAATAATTAATTTGTTATTGATATTATTCTAATTTTTTGTATTATCGTTTGAAAATTTTGAAACGTTGATTGTTTTATCCTTAAAATTCCATAATATTCTATCATTTTTATTGTATCGATCGATTTTATTTTTAAATACTTGAATAATTTTTTCTACGTACGTATCTGGTATTATATTTTATAAATTTATTACGTACGTATACGTACAGTACGTACCGGTACGTATAAATAATTTTTATAAATTGGAAATATGTAGCATATTAGATATCAGATATATAATATCAGATGTGGCTGATTTAAGCATACGTATCTGAAATGTGATCAGATGGTACGTAGCAAGTTCAGGCTACGTAGTAGTGGATTCAGAACAAAACTTACTGTAATTCCCAAATTCTAAAATAATTAAAGACTTAAGGCCATTTACTGCGCCAATACTTATTGTTTAAAGTACCTTTTTTTGATTTATCAAAATTAATATATTTCGTTATATCTTTGTTGTTATTTTAACCAATTAAATTTTAATATATTATTGATTTAATATTACTAAATCGGAAAACTTTTTCGAAATAAAGAGAAATTATTTTCTTTTTGAATTGATATTTTTTGTTAAGAACATTACGAATCAAAATAATTACCGTAAAGTATGGAAAATAAGCACGCTTTTTTTTTAATTAATGGATGTACTTATTCACTATATAGTAATTTGAAAATCTCTAATATGCTAATCTCGTGATTTAGAGAACGTAATTGATTTAGAATATGCTTATTTACAGAACACAAATTTTATCGTAAATGTACTTATTAACCGTATGTGCATATTTTCCATACTTTACGGTACGTAATATAAAATACTGTATGATTACTTAATACATTTATTTCATTTCATAAAATTCCGTTATCATGTAAGATTTTTATTACCATATAAGTCCGAAAATCAACTTTCGTTTAAATCTACCTACGTACAACATATACAGTCACACCTCACTAAGTGCACATCCCCTAAGTGCAAATCCTCCCTATATACAATACTATAGCCTGGTCCCAAGCTTGGGACTTAGTCACCCTCTATATTCTGTATGTGCATAAAATTTTCTGGTTCCAGATATCTAAATTATTTTCTCTAAATGCAAAATCGACAATAGTCGCTACATATTAAAGTCAAAAATATTACTAAGTTAATCGATATTGATGCTTTAAATAAAATTGTTTACAAGTATATTTTTTTACTTACAGTATTCTGAAATTTTTATGATTTTTTTATTTTTTTTTTATTATTAGGTTGAGTTTTGTTATTTTTATTTTTATTAATAATTTTTTTA